GTCTTGTCCGTGAGACCCTTGGCTTCTTTCTTGGCCCACTTTGTCGCCGGCTGCTCCGGGGTGTCCGTCTGGTTCCGCTTGTCGCGGTCCACTCCCATCTCCTCCTGCGTCGGGGCGCCGCTGCCAGCATGCGAAGGGGGTCCCGTCGTTGGCGGAGTGAGCTGTTCCCTCTTCATGAAGGGCCCGAACTGGGAGAGCTCCGCTGTCGCCTCGAGGAGTTGCTGGTCTGACATCTTCCAGTCGACGTTGGCCTGGGACAGCAAGGTAGGAATATCGGGCTAGGAAGTGGCCACAGATCCACATGATCGGGCAGGTCAAAGCATGTTGGACAGGCCGAACCTTGTACCAGACGCGGCTCCACTCGCAAGGCCGGAGCACACGCCCAATCGATTGAGCCCAGCTACGAACTGCCTGCTGGCACCTCGCTGTGTATGCTAACCGCATGTCTAGACAGGTACGAGGGGCCCGTGCACCACTGCCAGCACTCAGGACAATGGTTCAGGGCTTCACTGGCGTGTATGGCGGCGACCAACTCGCGAATTTTGCGTTGTCGCGCTAGAGCCTGGAGCTCGGGTCTGTGAAAAAGCGGCACATTCTGCAAAGCCGGGGTTGCCACTGGAGCCGGCTGCATGTCTGAAACCTGTGGGCTGTCTGCTGGGAGCCCTCCACTCGGCGCGTGCGCCCCATGAGCAGCGGAGGGCTCCAGCGGTGCATCCGTTGGTGTGGGGAGTGAGGTAGGGGCTATAGCATGATAGACAGGACACGCCCTGGTAGCAAAATGACTTGTAAAAGCCGGCCAGCTATGAAACTTCTGACTGCAATGCCGGCACTGCGGCAGGCCCTGCTGAGCATGTTGCCTATAGCGCTCCTGGTCCTGTGTTCGGGGTCTGTCCGGAGGAGAAGTTGCTGCAGAGGGCGGGGCTTCCTTGTGTTGCTTGCCAATGTGTACCTTGAGCGCATGGTAGCTAGGGAACTGCTGGCCGCACTCCGGGCAGGGGCTGCGGATCTTGAGGACCTGCGTGACCTCCTTTACTCGGAACGTCTCACCTGCTGGGGTTACACTCAAGTCAAAGCTCTTTAGGACAACGCTCCACCACTGGTGAACTTGAGGGGGTTGGAGGGAGCCTACACTATCACGACTGAGGGTCACACGCTTGTGGGCCTGAGCTTGGAGTTGATGTAGTAAGGGTGTCAAGCCTAAGCGGGCTAGCAGTGTGCTATTACTTTCGTGTGTGATGTGGGCCGGACTGCGCGCCACCATGCGGAGCTGTCTAAAGGTTTGAGCCTCGAGTTTTTCAGCTCCTGTCGGGTCAACACCAGTGGAGGTGAGACCATGCTTGGTGATAGCCCATACGCAAGTCTGCCAAAGGAGCAGCCGTTTACGCAGAGGAATGTTGGGGTGTTTGAGTAGGCTATGCAGACGATAAAAGGCAACCCAGGACTGTGAAAGTCTGTATTGTATAGTATCTCTCTCAAAAAGGTGGTAGCCTATCTTAACCCCGAGGTACAAATGAGACGTTTTGACCGGCAAGAGGATGCGACTGCTCAACTGTTGCAGGCTCAAGAGCCTCTGCTGGCCCCGCTTCACAACGTACTCTTTGAGGAGTTTCGGGGCGGCTTTTCCCTTGAGCAGAAGGATAACTATGGTTTTGTCCAGGGCTGGCTGCATGCCAAAGTCTTTTAGATCATTCAACATTCGGCTGATCTGCGAACAAGCGTTGCGGAACTCGAGTGGGCTATTCAGGGTCCACTGAACATGAAAGTCGTCTGCATATCCCGTCAAGGCTTGAGAGGGTAGATAGGCTTTGAATGTTTCGAAAAGTAAAAGTGTGAACCCCAACCACAAAAGCGGGGACAGGCCACAGCCCTGTCTGACACCCTGTCCCATTCCTGCAGTTGCCTGCCTGCCATGTCGCGTGAGCACGAGAATCGCATTGTCATGAATGTACATGATGAGGGAAATGAGGTCGGCTGGTGCTTGGATGTACTGTAACGATTGAAGCAGGCGACTGCGCGGCATGCGGTCATATGCTTTGGATAAATCCAAAGAGAGCTGGAGGCCGCCATGAAAGGCTGCGTCTTTGCGGCCAGCATGAAGCTTGAACACTGATCGATTATGCTCCTGCGAGGCTTCCCGAATGGCACAACAATGGGCTAGTACCCGATCTATCGAATCAGCCACCTGACGCCCCTTCAGATATGCGAATTGGGGCGTGCTTTGCAGCGCAAGCTCCAGGAAGGGTTTCAAGCGCTCAGCCGCGATGCGTGCTAAGAGTTTAGGTATGGCAGGAAGTAAACTGATGGGGCGTAGGTTCTGAGGTTTTGTAGGGGGTTTCCCAGCCTTCGGGATGAGGGTGACGAATGCACGGTGCCAGGAGGCAGGGAAAAGGATCGGGCCCGGTTGCAGTACTTGATTAAGAACATCACAAACATGCGGCGCAAGAACCGTAGCACTCACCTTCCATAAGGGAGCGGGTGCTTGGTCCGGCGGCAAGGCTTTCCTTGCAGAAAGGTGACGGAAGGCTTCCACCACTTCCTGAACGGTAATGTGGAGAGCATCTCGAAGAAACCAAAGAGGTGGCGCAGAAGTCGGAGAGTCATACAAATCCTTAAAGTAAAGATGTAGACTCTGCAATTCCTCCGTCTCCGTCATTAGACGTCAATCCGGAAAACGAAAGTGGATAGTGCGTCGTTGGGTCTTGGGGCGCAGTTGTCCAGAGAGCTGATATAGCCCCTGAAGTCCTTTGATGGGATTGGCAATGGCTGCATCTATAAGAGCGTCAACCTTGGCAGTCTTAGAATGTTTGATGCGTAATCTGAGCTGCTTGCTCTGTGATTGAAAGTGCAGGGATGCCCGCCAACAATTAAAAAAGCATTGGAGCCGCCGGACAGCTCCAGGGAAGAAGCGCCGCACTGGGGCAGACAAAGACTGCGTGCAATTCCAAACTACTGGGCTCCAGTACTGGCTTGTACAATGTAGCGCTTGGCGGAGCTGACGCTTGGACTCCCAATATGTCTTGAGGCAGGGCCTTTCCGACGTAACGGAGGCTGGTTTTGGGGGGCTCCGAGGCTTACATTCTTGCCACGCAGCCTTGAGGGCTTCTTCCGGATCTAGACCAGGGGTTAGGCGTTTGGCCACAGCTTGCTGAAATTTGCAGCTAAGGTCAGGCGTGGCCTCAAGACTTGCTTGCACTGCTCGAGATGTCAAACGAGACGGGGCAGCTGCAGTCCGAGGCGGCGTGCCCAATGGGACGTGGCCAGAAACAGGCACATGTCTAAGGCCCGTCGGGTGGACCAACGGCGAGCGACGTAGGGGCGAGGCATGCATACCGTCGGGCCGGAAAGGCAGTCGGGTGAGGATGAAATCAATCTGTGTCGAGTGCTCACTGAAATGTAGGTACGTGCCAGCAGACGGTCCGGCGCGCCCCCACGTGTTGGTAGCGGTGAGACCGAGGGACTGGACCAGTGTCTGAAATTCCTGTTGGTCTGCATGCACGACTGATTTGTGATGGGCTACTCCGGGGCCTACATGGGGATGGCAGGGGAGTAATGGACAATTGAAGTCCCCTAGGACAACCAGAGAATTACGCTTAGGGGTCTGGGTGACGAAGGAGCGAATATGCGACCAGATAATCATGCGATCTTCAAGAAGGCTTCGGGGGGGCCTATCTGTTGGCGCAGCCTGGTTGGGATGGTGCGAGGTCCACGCATGTTGGTAGACGCCCAGCAGATCAACCGGCGGGTCCAGCGCTATACGCAGGTGCAATGCTCGGCCAGCAGCTAGCGGAGCGTGCCGCACTTGGTCTGGAGACGCTATGTTTCTGTTAATAATGAACAGGATTCCGCCTTTGGCCTGTGACATACCAGAGTGTACAAACAGCCAGTGTTGGTGAGAATACTCAGCATCATAAGGCCATTTTGTTTCCTGAATGCACATGATATGTACTGGTCTGTGTGCTTCCTGCTCCGCCTGCAACCAGCCCAGCAACTCGGCATATCGGACTGAGTTGAGGCCTCCAGCATTCCAAGTGACGACCCGAAGTGAGGTTGACTGTGACCGGTCCATAGTTGAGGGTTGTTGGGCAACGGATCCAAGCTCTTTGAGGCCTAGGCTACGGGGAGTGTGCAGTCTACCTCTATAGCTGGTGGCCCCATCTCGCAGTGCACGGGCCTGGGCACGCTTGAAAGAGCGTTTGCGAGAAAAGGTGACGGGTCGCGCCCTCTGTCCATATGCTTGCATGGAGGGCTGCGTTGCAGAGGGATCTCGGGAGGCAGGGCTAGCGCCAGCTAAACCCAAAACCGTCAAACCGACTAACAGGGCAAGAAGCCTGGGAAAACCGTGTCTGGGAGAAGGGATGATGCGTAAGGGCCTAAGCTGAATCCTTGGCTTATGGACAGCCGGGCTCGTGGTGCTGCGCAGCGCTCTGGCGGCTTGGCAGGCTCTCAGACGTGACTGGCGGCAACGGCGACGCCGATAGCATCCTGGGCAAACACGGACTGTTCGCCATGGCCATAATGGCCCACGCAGAGTGACGGCAATACGGCAGACCGAAAAACCCAGCAGAAGAGCCAAAGAAAGTGCTACTGCTGTGTGTTCCAAGGACTGGACCTTGGCTGCACTTGCTAGCGCACTACGTCGAAAAAACCTGCTGGCAAGAAGCAGTGCTGGGGTGTCTGGGGGAGTGGGAGACAGCCTATCTGTATGTGAAACAACATGCATGAGTCGAGTGCCTGGGGCATCTCGCTGGAACGGGCTCCAGAGAGGCCCGAAATAGTCGTGTAGCTTCGCCTCGAAACTGTACAGAGCGTTGCTTGTCAGGGCGGCTTCGGGAGGACTACGACCAAAGTTACCTCCGACCCTCACGTCTACATGGGGACAACAAATCAAGACGACGACAGATGACATAAAAACAGGCACCTGACTGAACTGTCGGCGGCCTGCATAGTGCTCTGTCCCCATGCCCCCGGAATTGGGACCGGGGCGGCCCATCCAGAGATGCTCAAGCCCTGCTGTGACCAGATGCCGAGGAGGGGCCACCATTGTCTCCGGAGCCAGTCGCTTGCAAAGTTGGCGGAGCTCCAGGGCAGGGAACTCCGTCCCGTGCTTCGCAGGCATATCGAAAGAACCATTGCTGCAGCTCATACTGGAAATGGGCTCCCAGCATAGGCCATATACTGATTACCAGCTCCTGGTAGAGGGCATTCGTGCAAAGGTCAACGAGCTCCATGGCAAGGAGGTCGGCCTCCGGAAACCGCAGCCGTTGCATGAATCGCCTCGAAAGCATAGTCTGCAGCTGCTGAACCAGCAGCGCCTTTGGTGGTCCCGGGACTCCGCTGTACGGAACCCCAATGGTAAAAATCCACCCCATGTCGTTGGGAAGGACCGGACCATCCAACATGTCCTCCAGCTGCTGCAGGTCGTGGCTGACATTGGTGACAGCCGGTTCCTCCAGCCTTGGCCTGACCAGCTGCTCCAACTCTGTCCTGCCCAATCCACTGGCAGCCCTTCGAAAACCGCTGAGGCGTTGGACTGCGCTGCGCTCATTGCAGCCGGAGGTCTTGTAGTGAAATTCCAGATACGAGCAGCAGACGCGGTAAAGCACTTGCCGGCGGAACCATTCAATCCTTGCAGACTGACCTGGCGTGAGAAGCTCGCCTCTGCGGTGCGCAGGTCCTCCAGGAACGGCCACGTCAGGGTGAGCTGCAATCCTAGCTGCAGCGGACTCCGAGCGGCGAGAAGAAACGCTGCGGCTTGCATCACTGTCAAGGATGCTGTCCAGAGAATCATCGTCTCCCGAGCTGGAGCTGCAGAGCGATCGCGGCATGTGGTGGCTCGCATACGACTAACGGGCAGCGCTTGGGGCAAAGCCCACTGGGCCGAGACGCTTATACATACATACATACATACATACATACATACATACATATATACATACTACATGACTACATACGTACGAACTTACTTGCTTACTTACAACCTTATTACGCTCGTGCACCTCTGCATTGGCTGCAGTGCCTGCCTCTTCACCTGCACGCATGTATGTGCCTACCCAGGCTTATTTCCCTATTCTACTTGGAGTGCCAAGAGGCCGCGAAGCGGTAGAGGCCACGGATGTGGGCCGAGCGCCGTTGCTCGGGGAAGGGGGGCGCGATGCCGACCTGCGTGACAAGCAGCCGTTGTTGAGAACACTATCGAATGCACGTCTCTCTCTCTCTCTTGACTGCTGCAGGTTTAAGGCAGGGGCATTCTCTCTCTCTCTCGCTCTCTCTCTCTTTGAAGGCATCTCTCTCTCTCTCTCTCTGCCACTGAATTCTGCTGGTCCCTGATTGCCCGCCAGGTTAGGAGAAGTGAAACAACAGTGTCAAACGCCATGTCATGCTGGAAATTGCGGTTCGGGACGCAAGGACACTTCTATCAACCCCTCTTGCTTTCGGAAATCGCTTCTGACATAGGGCACGTTTCACGAAACAAGCCGGAATCTTGTTGCATGTGCAGGGTTATTCGACAATCCTGGACATTCAGTTGAATTCAGATCGACACCGATTGACATCACCATAGGGGCTCTTCTATATCCACCCGGTGTCGGTGCAGAACAATCTTATAAAACCTGCTGTGCGGAGCCTGGGTGCGTAGCCACTGCAAGGACGCTTCGGCAGCTAAGCTCCCGGCAAACGAGTTGGCATTGAGCTTTTCTATGCCTCCAGAAGCATGGAATTCTTAGACGCATGCCTCATGCGCAAACCCCTTCTTGCATCCGGGCTTGAGAAGGCCCCAAACCCCGAACCCTGATCGAAACATATCGAAACCCCCTGAAGGCCCTGCGCCTTGGAGGTCCGGAAGCGCTGCCACCTCGTCGAAGGTGCGCCGACGGCTGCAGAACTCCTGGTGGGCCTTGATGAGCCTCAGTGCTTGTTTCGACCTGCCTGGGGGAACAAGGGCGAAGCCGCCAGAGCTGCAGCTAAGGAGCCCAGGGTCGCTGATCCCTGGCGGCTTCTTATAGAGACCCACCTTCAAAACGCAAGGGAGGGGCACCCACTTGAGGAGCTACCAACAAACTCCCTTTCTCGCCGAAAGCCCCCCGAGGCTCAAAGCCTCTGCGATTTCACAGTCGATGAGTATCGGCACCTGACTGCCACTAAGACGGGTAAGGCTTTCTTCTACTGTGCATCGTCTGCAAAGTGCACAGGCCTTCTTGCCGTTTCGCATGGGCAGGACCTCGATGATGGCGGCCGCCGTCTGCACACACCGATGGAAAGGCGAGGTGATCACGACGTCGATCCTGGGATTCTGTGCAAACATCAGTCCATTCCCATCCCTCGACACATGCTGTCCTGTCATGGCAGCGAGTCAAAGATACCGAAAGTTGCATAGGTGCCTCCAAGCATCGGTGTCCCCAGCTTGTTGCACAACTCGGTCAGCGTCTGCCCCTGGAACTTCGCCAAGCTCTTGCCTGCGACAAGCGGCGAAGGCGTGCGCAGGCCATTCATGTGCCATGAGATGCTCCTGGCCATGAACAGGTGAAAGGCATTTGGCTTTTCTTCATTTTGTGGAAAACTGTGGAAGCATACTACTGGAAGCGGCTGGTCATGCTGGTTCACCCACCTCGAGTTGTGATTGGCGGGTCCATCGGGAAGCTGCGGGAATCTGGATGCCTGGAATGCATCGCATCTTCAACTGTCACCACCAAAACACTGGCAGAACAATGCAGGTTCTCATACATAATGCCGAAGCACTGGAACCAAGCATCCTCATCTGCAAAATCTAGCCGCTCCGAATGCCCTCGGTGCATGTTCACGCTAAAGAAACAATCACTATCAGACACAGCTCACCCGGAAAAGTGTCAGACAAGGATTTTGGGGAGCGGTGCTACAAGGTGGTGAGGGGTCTGTGGCATGCCCGATCATGGAAAATGTCGAACTCAGGTAAGCGCCACAGACATGCCCCCACAGAAAGCAGTCCGTGACTCTTACTTTGAGGAATTCTTCATGACAGCCTTGCCTCCAATCCCGAAACTGTTACGGTTGCAGTGTCGATGGAATTGCTTTCAGCAACCAAGTACGTTGAGCCGAGAGTGTGCATCGGAGAAAAGCACACGTATACGGAATAACGACTGCACACTGCGAGCACAAATCCTCCCGCCAGGGCACGCATGACAACGAGCAGCTGCTGCCATGTCTTCTGGCTGCAGCCCATACCTAGGTTGAACGTGTCAGATTGACAGAAGCAAGACAGGGCAAATACGCTGTCTTGCAAGCGAGTGACAACATGCCATGAAGCACGGCAGTCAAAGCACGGCGCACTCAGGCGAAATCCCAGCCACTGGCAAAGGTTTGACGTCGTGGATGCCAACAGTCTGGGAGGATCGTTCCAGCTGCTGCACGTGCAATGCTGTAAACTTTTTTGCTCTTGTGTGGGCAACCGTCCTCTACTTGCGGAGGGCATGCTAGGGCCTGGGGCCTAGGGTTGAGGGAGTGCATACATGAGAAAGCAAGATGCTCGAGCCCAGCATCACGAAGACAAGCCCCCACTCCCTTCGTGTTTGTTACACGCCTGAAGGCCAGAAGCTTCAGCTTCGCCTTGCCAAGTCTCCGAGGCACTGGCCCGGCCCCGGCCACCATGAGCGACATGTCCATAAAGGCGCGCACCCAGGCCTCTTTGATGTCCTCATGATTAGGTCTGTCTGGGACACTGCAAGGTGGGATCGCGTGGCTCCTGGCACGACAGGGGCCAAACCTCCTCGACCCAGGGCGCTGATGCGCCTTCCGGAAAATTCGGTGCACGACATCTGAGATGGGTTGCCATGGTCGAGGGCTGGTTCAAGGCAATCCCTCGGAACTCGCGTTGCACCGCGCAGCCATCCCTGGTGCCTGGCAAGCTCTCGGCTTCTGACTGCCTCGGATCCGGCTACTGCTACACTTGTACACTCTTGTCACAAAGTAAATGGAAGGGCAGGGCAGGCTCCTTACCTACTTCCTTGGTGCCGATTCTGGCTTGATACGGATGCAAAACTTGGCCAAGTCCCCGGGCTGCGAAATGCGGGAGCACCTGGTGCAACACAAGCTATGGAGATGTGCTCCCTTCCCGCCCCGCTTCGGGTGACAAGTTGCACGGGTACAGCTCCCTTCCCGGAGCCCTTTTCTTCTGGAGCTCAATGTCTCAACAGCTGGTTGGTGAAACTACAGCCAGGGGCTTGTCAGTTCAAGCCCGTGGAACGAAAAACACTCACACATTGCAGCATGCAGTAGACCGCAGCTGCAGGGACTGGATGTCGTCTTGGGACAACCTCCAGCATCAGTTGTGTTCTAGCCTCAAGCAGCGCCACTATGGGCGGCTGGACGAAGCAGCTGACATCAAAGCAGCGTTGGAACAAATTCTGCACCTTCTTCACCTGCAACCTGCAGCACCCCGGAAGCTGTAAAGTGTGATTTCGGGGCTTCCAGCACTCACACATCCTGAACCCAAAACTAGAGAATTCTTCCAGTAATGGCGCTGACAAAACACCCTAAAACTCGGCATGAAAGGAGAAAGTCTTTGCGGAGTCCGCGAAACTCCTAATAAACTCCTGATATGCAGTAGCTCATTAGCATGAGTCTCATCCCTGTCTCTCCACTCTGGATTAAGGGGACATCATCACTTTTCCGGACAAGGCCCGGCGATCAGTAGTTCTTACTGAGCATGCGCCCATCAGCTTCTGCACATGTGGTTGTGACTTGGGACACATTCCCGATCCGGCCTATGCCGAGCGCTGGCATCAGGCCGCCTGCTGCAACACCACCGCGGGAGGTGCTACAAGACGTTTCCATGAAACTGCCCTTGCAACTTTGACATTGCGCGACGGCCGGTAAGAACTCCAGTGCTACAGTAACTGCAGATCATGCCAGGCACAGGACCCCCGGTGTCACCGATGACGTGACCTCGGGACACTCACGTCCGGCCTCCACCTGCTCCTCCTCCTCCCCCTCTGCCGCTTCGTCTGCCTCGGCCTCTGGGGGTGGCGGCGGCTCCTTGCGGAAAGCGTCACCTCTGGCCCTTAAACTCCTAAACCCTCGTCTCATACAGACTCGTCCTGCGGCCCCATGGAGATCTGCCCGGGCTTGGCCTGCCGAGAGCCCGACCCAACCCGACAGTCCTCGATGCACATCCGAAGAGCCTCGAAGAGCTGCTTCGTCTGCTGCACAGGCTCTCCACTGAGCCGCAGCCTCGCTGCAATCGCATCGCGAGGCTCATGGGAGGCACTCGCGCCGCTTTGTAGCCACATCAAATGCTCGAGGCTGCAAGAAAGCGAGCCGAGACACACAACGCCGTGAGGCCACGCCGCTGCAATTTTGGGCTCATTCTGCTGAAGCCACACGTACCTCAACAGTCCCGACCGAGGACGTCGGATGACAAAAAAGCTTGGGCCTATGCGGCCTCTGCCCGTAGGCTTAGGCCTACAACTTGGCAAGGCACACTCGGGCTTGAAGCTCTTCCACTGGATCCGCCGATGACAATTGGATCGGCCCAACAGGCACGGGGTTTCCGCTGCCATCATCGATGAGGATTCGTATTTTGCCGCGGCGAATCCTGAGCGGTCTCTTGCCTCCTTAGCGGTCTCTAGCCTGCCCCCCCAAAAAAGCTTGCAAAATCATTGGAACCCAAGGCGCTGCAGCTCCTCTAACCGCAGCTTCTCCATGCCCGCAAACTTTTCCCTCTGCCCCTGCAGGCTGGCCGACCACTGGGCCTGCTGCGCTGCCACACCATGGGCCACGATCTCATCTACCTGCATGCGAAGTTGTTACAGGACAGAGAATCGAAGGCACCCGCCCCTGGGTTGTAGAAACTACTCTTTGCCTACTTCTGGGTAGCCCTCTGGCTGCCTCTTGCTGCGCACGCTTGATTGCCGAGACCTCCTGCTGGACCTGCTGGAATAGGCCCTGCATGAAGTTCCTGCACAGAAAGACCACCATTTAGGACCATTTAGGTCCAACTGAACATCTCATCTCCATGGCCAATAGTGCTGGGGCCTCTGAATTGCCAGGCCGCGGCTGTCTGGGAAGGCCACCTCTTTGAGATCTTCCACCGCATTGGGCACCAGGTTGGCCAGGTGACCCTTTGCGGCGTTCACGGCCTGGATCCTCGGACGACAGGGGCCCGAAAGTGAAGGAAGCACGGCAAAAAAGGATGGGCAGTTCCACGAGTGCTAGTGCTTCCGAAGCTCTTGAGGAGCACGCGAGCCTCGCGCTCCTTCTGAGCCCTCTGGGCTGCCATCACGGCCTCCTTCTGGTGCCACCGCACCCACTCCTGGTACACAACGACATGATGTGAGGAGATGCGCCGGCTCTCAAAGACGTCCCGTCCGGGGTCCTCTTCGACCTGCTCCTGCCAGGCCGCCATCATGCTCTTCTGCCTAAAAAAGGGGTGCAGTAGCGAAGCGCAGCACAAACCTCCTCGCTAACGCTCGCTTCCCCCCCCCCGGCCTCTCGAACCAGGCTCCCTTGAAGCTGGTCATGGCCGAGAGCTCGTGCTCCTCCTCCACTTCCATGACCGATTGCTCCAGGGTCTTCATGACCTGGGCCACCAGCTTCAGGTCTCGCAGATCTCGAATGACAGCGAGCCCAGCTTCACCTACTTACACATCTCATCTCCTTAACACATCCGTGCGACGAGCACATCCAAGATGGGCTCCACTTCTGCATCGAAGTCGAAGAGCTCACCGTCCTTCGACTTTGTCAGTGGGAAAACTTAGCGTGTCCAAAGGATCCCTCGAAAGGAATGCAACCCACGCTGTGGCAATCCATCCGCAACTCCTAGGCGTATGGGAGCGGTACAGAACGCGGACATGTTGCAAGCATGGTTTCTCACGACCTGCATCATGAATGTCGCAAGCAGCCCCTGCCAGAAATGTGAAATCGCCCGGAGCGGTCGTGCACCTTCCCAGTCTATCTGAAGATCTCATGACATTGCTCGCTCCTCTACCTGCGTGGAGGCATCAATGCCAGTCCTGCAACGGCCCACAGGACTGGAAAGACTATGTTTCAATCATCTGGGAGCATGGTGCTCTCATCACTCGCGGATCTGCTGGGCCTCTGTGGTTGGTACTGCTCCGGGGGCGGTTCTGGCAAGAACTCGTCTGTCTGGCACTCGACGACCTCCACCTGGAGCCCAAAGGTACGGGCAATCTGAAGCCGCGAAAGAACGCCCCGTCGGCCCACCTGCAGTGGCTCTTCGCTGGCTATGAGGTGCTTCGTGAGGTCGACGGGCACTCGCTCGTGTTCGGGTAGGGGCATGTCAAAGATGGACTTCTCCTGCAAGGGAGCGAACGAAAGGGTGCTCCGCCGTCTGCTGACTTGCGCTTGGGGCTCCTTGGGCCTCCTTTTCTTGGCAACCTTAGGCGAAACCTCACAGACGACAGGAGCTCGGGTTCCAAAACTGAGAAGGACCATCCGTCCAGGCCTGTGACTGTTGCGCAGCTTCGATGGCCTGGTCATGGCCCAACCCCAAGCCCCCAAGCTTCGGCATAACGCACTCGGCTGCGCACCTCCTTGATGGCATTCTGCGTGTACATGCTGTAGGTGTTTCCACGATGGACGCGCTTGTCCCAGGAGATGCATGTCTCTTTCACCTGGGACTCCGTGAGGCGAAGGCCCAGGGTATGCGAAAAGGCCAGGGCATACCATCAAATACCGAGGCACGCTGCGGTAGAGGCCAGAGTCGACGGGACCGGGCTCCCGATACTTCTTGCGCGCTGTCACAGCCTTCGGAGCGGAGCTGAAGGAGTAGGTTGAAGATGCCGTCTGCGCCATGCTCGTGGCGATCGGGAAATTATACCTCGTAGACCGATGGCACACGCGAAAGAGGGCTCAGGCAGAACAACAGCGACAGATGAGGTCTTCCCCAGTTCTTGCTTTGACCTGGCCTCTGCTTTGGAAATGCTCAGGACCTCACAGGCGGACAGCTGCCCCAACAGCACTGTTGCCGGCAAGCACTGGTGCCGCCAAGCTGCGTGCCAAAAGGCACACTGAGCTAAAGCCTGTTCGCAGCTCTCAAACCGCAGCTCTCTTAGCTGCGGAATGGAGAGCCAAAGATTGCTGCAGGGTCCAAGTCTTGGAAGAAATCACATAAATCACAAACTGGCATAGCAGCCATGCAGGGCATGCCCTCGAGAAGGCTGCTCAAATCCGCTGTTCAAGGGCATGCAAACCTACAATGCTCGGTACCTGCGGAGCAGTGAAGAGTAGCAGCGTCTCAAAGACCACAGCCTGGACCTGAAAGCTCCAAACACAAGGAGCAGTCCGGGCATGGGCATGTCTGAGCTCCGAGCCAGAAAGACGTCTGCACGGATGCATTGGAGCGGGGGCCCTCGGAGCTTCGAAGCAGAACCGCGGAAGAACATAGCTCAGCTAGTAAATTAGAGCCATTGAGAGTCTTTGCCTGGCGCTCCAAGGCACCGGCCACAGAGCCGAGGCTGGACTTCGTCATGCAGAGACCTACGCAGAGGCCACCAGCAATGCACCAGTAATGCACCCAATGACACCTCTACCCCAAAACAAGAAAATGGACCGGCTTGTTGGGAGCTTGCACAGAGCAGTCACAACCACTTTGGGCTGCAACAGCAGTGTCTCTGACACATGCTATGTCCATGTTGATGGCATTGCTGGATGACTGCCACATATTGCCACATTACATGCGAAACAATGCAGTGAGCCCTGTGCACTGGGCCAGGCATTCAGCCGCGCCACCGAAGAGTTTTCGAAGTATGCCGGTTACTTCTTGTGTACACGGCAGATTTATCTACATGCGGCGACCGTCGCGTCGCAAAAACACGAGCTGTGCCCCGAAACAGCAGAAACCCCTCATCCCGAGGCTACCTGTCACGTCAGACTGTCAACATTCTGTGCTCAGCTCGGTTTAGCACGCATCCAAACTCGCAATCGTTGCCACATCAGTGGCTACCTCACGATACGATCTGACCCCTCGTGGGTTCAGAGCACATTGCCAGACTGCCTGCATGCAATGAGATACTGACCGACATGCTTCATGCTCCAAAAAAGCGGTACGGACAGTAACACCATATGGATCTTCTCGCCGGGTGGCGGTGCAGTCCGGCCAGCAGGCTCGGTTGGGGATCCCGTGTCGCCACGGCGGAGCCAAAGACAGAGTGAACCTGCTCCTGCACAGAGATGTACAGAAGAGTGCCGAAAAGGCTTCCGAAAGCCGAGTGCTCGCGCTGGACCCGGCCTTGGTGGCATGCTCCTCCAACGTAGCACTCAGGCCCTGCCGAGACAATTCGAGAACCACGAAGCCTCGGTGATCTCCACAAAGCCCGCCTCCAATCTTTCGAGCATCGCTCTTAACTTCGCCTGCGTCACAAGCCGCCAAGGACACAGAGCTGCGAAGCACCCTGTCGGCCTTGGCATCCTGCGCACACCTCAAATTTCGGAGAACTGTGTCAATCCCGAGATTCCCAGCTCTGGTGGTGCCGCCAAGCTTCACTCTCATGGTACCTTCAGTCCATACCATGCACCAGGCGCCAGGGAGGCAACAAAGCATTTCCTACGGTCCTAACGCACCGCGAACGTTGAGCTAATGGATGGCCCGTCACGCTGATCGTCTTGAAGTTGGCGATGACCCAACTCGTAGATGTTGCATTCCTCCTCTAGAACCTCAGGCGATGGAGGGACAAAGTACGCGAAAGAAAGCCAGAGTGGTGTGCAGTCAGAGGAAGGATGCCAGTAGCTTCTTCCGAGACACGCCATGAACCTGCGATCGCAGGCCTCCGACCTGAAACACATCTTGCAATGTACTCACGCCTGCTGAAACACACATGGTCAAAACTGCACTCGCGAACCACCCTCGGGCAGACCGAGACACAGTGTCTTTCAAGACATCCACGATCCTCAAGGTGCTTTCTTTGAGACCTGTACCGTCGGCGTCGTCACTAGCTGCGCATGACCTGGGAACCTGCCGGGAGGCCTAGATGAGTCGGGCTTGGCAGCGTTCCTGAAGCATCCCGGGCTTCCTCCACAGCCACGCGAATGGCAGACACCTCGCAGCTGCAGTGACAGAACTGCTTCTGCGGATGGCCGAGGCACATTCTGCGATATCGGTGCAGGCGAGGCTCCTCTTCCTGAAGAATTTTGACCTTGAGTCGAAGGCCAGCTGAGGTGCTTTAGACCATCCCTCTACTTTGGGACCAGCTGCTCTTCCATTGCACATCTTGAGCTGCATGCGCATGTTCTCCATGCCATAGTGCACGTCGTTGGTCTCCCTCCAGACCCTCTGGGCACTGCTCAGCGTTCCTCGGAGAACGGCGCCCCCTTCCTATCACACGTTGTGTGTCCATATCGCAATCTCCAACACAACCAGAGGGCATTGAGCCTTGGAAAAGCACGGCACTTCTGCCACTGGGACTCTTCTGGCTTGGGACAGTGGAAGACCTGGCACCACCTTCACCAAGTCTTCGGGCCTCACCAGGACCTCTGCCCATGCTGGGGCTCTGCCAGGGCTTCAAAGATGGTCGCCAAGGCTGTTGCTTAGTCTGAACCAAGTAGTGAAAACTAGGCAGGGGGCATGTCACTTTACGAACCCACCCTACCTCGCTTTCGAACATTTCTCGGTGTGACTGGAACTGCTCCAGGTAGGCAAACCAGATCTCCACCAGCCGTACCTTCTGATTCCCGATGCCCCGTCAGCATGCTGGCTCAAGACAACATACTCCGTTTTGGTGCGGCCAAAAGCGCGGTCTTCTTCTCTCGGTTCAGGCGCCGGCGCCGCAGCATCTCCGAGATCTGCTGCGGAACTGTCACCATGACGGAGGCCTTCGACTTCACGACCTCGGCAAAGCAAAGAAGCGTCCCTTCCCTGTTTCTGGCGACGGCAGGACTCCGAAGCGGCCGAGCAGCTTGGTAAGCGTCCATCAGTATTGCCAGGACCATGTTCAGCAGCAGCAGCACTACAAGCACAACCTCGGGAAGCGATATGTCAGCGCAAATACTCCCGGAGCAGCACTGATGAAGATCCCAGGTTGTATCAGCAAAATAACCAAAACTACCACTGCACAAGCCGAGGGACGAAACACCAAAGCCAAATCGCCGCTAAGACCCGGCCCACAGTTTCCATCTCCTCCTTGGGCAGAAATTCTGCTGAAGAATGCTGAAAGGGAGTGGCGTTTCACAAGGACTGAACTGGCAAGGTCTTGCAATCGAGAAGCCCAGTCCCATTCTCCAAGCAGTGCACGAAAGCATGTGATGCATACACCTTTGCAGTCCGTCGCGAGCAAGATGCATGGAACTATGCTGAAAATCGATGGAACCTGCGAACTTTGTCGACGCGGCAACAAAACTAGATTCAATCGCCTGGGAATGTTGCAGCCTCGCGTCGATCCCAAGTCGAGAAATCCTCAACATCTTGTCCAAATAAGAGGTAGCCGAAAACTGCCATACAAGTGTAAACGGAGAGCAGGACGATAAAGAAGTGCAGCAAATCTTGGCTGGCAGTGATGATCGTCTTCGTTACGATGGCCTTGTTCAGAGGTGTATGCGCATCTCTGCATGGCTGGCGCCCGGCATCTCTGGATGTGATGAGCTTGATGGCTTGCCAAGTGACGAGGCGTGGCTGGGCGTGGAAGGATTTGAAGAGCCGTAGCATGACCTCAGGCAGGCAAGGCGTGAACATGCCCGGGCCTTCACCTCAGGCTTCATGAACTCAGCTCTGAGGCCGTTGCTAGCATGGGAAAGAAAAGCCTTAGATTCCGGACATCGTCTCGTGCCGAGTGCAAAGCAACACATGCACACGATATCCCCAGACGTCAATTGTTCCTGCTGAAGCTTTCTACTCTTTGGCAGGACTGCTCTCTTCCATGCTGGAACCCGACATCTGCAATGACCATACCAAGACTACAACGCACCAGTTCTAGCGCAGTCATGGGGGCAGTGTGATGCGGAAGTCTGCTTCCGCACTGACCAAACTTTCCTGGGAAAGCGGGGTGGTAAGATTGGCCCTCCACTTGCACATAAAACTGGCCTTACGCTAGCTAACGACCTTTGGAAAAGACAAAAGAAACAGGAAGATCAAAACTAAGAAGCAGAAGCAGAATGGTCTGAGTCTGTATTGTGAGTTGTCTGGATTGCTTTGGGATCTCGACTTGTCATGGCTCATAACTGGCAAACGATGGGGGCGGAAATCGACTGTGAATTTCCGAACCCCCGAATCAAGAACTACACACGTTGGCTTGCCAAATCTTAAAGCATCCGAAAACTGGCGTCGTCAGCCACCCGAGGTCCAAAACAAGAGATACAGCCAAGCAAGATGATCCCAAAACCGGTGCGTTTTGAGGAAAATTTCCCACCCGAGCGCTGACCGCAACGATCTGTCCAAGTTGCCGTGGCTTGAAAGACCAGGTCACTCCTGGCGGAAAGCTCCTCTCTGGTTTGGTTCTGGACATCTGGCTGCAGGACGTTCTCGAGCTGCGAGGATGTGGCGGCAACCTTGAGGAACTCTTGGGCCATGATCTTGGACCCCATGCGACACGCATGGATTGCAACCAGGGTACCTCCATGCCTGCACGGATGTACGTCCCCAGCACTGCCCAAGCACAGGCCAACGACAGCCAGTCCACGATGTTCCAGAAAGCCTCGGGTGCAGACCTCTCCGCCGAGAGACATCCAGACAGGACAACAACATCGCAGGAATGATATTCAATGCACTGAGTCGCGAGGTACTCAAAAAGGAGAGCCTTCCACCATGTTTGTTGCGAGCCTGTGATGGTGTTTACGATGTCCTGGACCTGTCGCTGTCGCAAGGCGCAAACAAAGGACACGCTTGCCAACAAAAGCAATGCCGTGCTAGGGCCTGCCATCTATTCTGAAACTAGAATCTGCGCCTCATTCAGGAGAAGCTTCAGCAACCCTATCAACCAAAGGATGTCGCCTGAGATGGATGCTAGAGGGCTCATGTCAGTTTGCCGCTGCCGAGAGTTGCTTGAAGCCTGCATGTTGTCGCAGGCAAGGTGCAGGAAACCATGATGAAGACCGAGAGAAGGTAACCCACATAGGGATCGATTCGGGCTGACTGCACGTCCCTTAGTGAAGCGGTCGGGGCAACAGTGAAGAAAGGCTATGACGAAAACTTAGCTGAGCCACAAGAGCTTGTGCACATGTCCTGCTTTGTTGATGAAGAAGTTGACCGACACCAGCGACACCAGGCCATAGTTTTGGTTGTAAGCCACAGTGCTCACTTCAACTCTGCGGGTGTATTCCTCAAACTGCGAAGGACCGTTTTTCACACTGCAAGGCACTATGTCTCTCGCCGAGCCGCGTCCAGCCATGGTCCAGGTGCCAAGCTGCCTCGCTTTGCACCGTTCACAGCAAAAAGAGCCTCTTCTATAGAGCATCCAGATCATCCAGCCTGCGGGGCCCTGGGCACCATCCTGGCCTTGGTGACTGAGGATGGCACAAGCTCGGCCTCTCGGCCGAGGCATCTCTCAGCCAAGCGACAGCTTTGGCACCAGCACTCATCCGGGACCTGACGCATCTTCGACAAGATGCGGGTCCCTGCTGCAGCTCCTGTCCTGCAAGGCGCCTCGGGACGGCCTGGCTGCGTGGCCTTGCTGGCCAAGTCAGAGCAACCGTCCTGACACAGATTGAAACAAGTCTCATTCGGAGGTTGCCCTGCACATAAGGCTTGGTCAGTGGCTGAAGCCGTCACCCCAGGACGGCTAAAATACACAATATGGTATGGCAGATGCATGCAGATGCGTCCTCCATGTCCAAGGTCATCATCTGCAGCTCTTGCAGCGCCTGCTTCATGGTCAGAAACCACTCCACGCGCATGGGCTCGCCATTGAAGGTTTCGGACTGATGAACCTCAAGAGAATCCCAAAGATGCAGGGCGCAGCTTCAGCTTCCCAGACAAAGCCCCAAGGGTGCTGAAGTCGAGATGCTTCGGGGGTGAGGAAGTAGGACTGATCTGCCAGCATACAAGGCTTGCCCAACCAGTCTTTCCAGAGATCTTCTGGCATGCCTCGGCTAGCGCAACAGCTCCAGACACAACGTGCCCAACCTCCTAGGATGACTCCTCGCCAGGCGGCTGGAGGGGATGTGGCAGGCCTGCAGCTTACAAAGATCGGAAGCTCCGGTGCCAGCGGGGGTGTGTAGCCGGAGTTGAGAACAACTGGCCTCCCAGCTTCCCACTGCTCTTTCCTGCTGCATTCGGATGCCAGCCACGATTTTCTGGTAGCTCAAGAAGTCCTCAGGATCGAGACGCTTCCGTTCAAGCGAGACTCGACAAGAGGTAGACAAGGCGCATCCCGCACAGGCAGCCGGGCACTGTCCCAGGGCTCATCCGCGAAGAGGCCTTGCACCGTGCAGCTTTACACTTGTGGACGGCGTTCGCAGATTCGGCTTCGACTTGGCCACGGACCATAGGCTAGGTCCTGAGGCAGAGTGCACACCGACACCAAAAGCATGAAAACACTGGCAGGAAGGTTTGAGTCTCCAGCCAGACGGTCTGGAAGGCTGCTGGAGAAGTTCCCACTCAGATTGGCAGACCTATAGGCCTCATCCAAGCCTTTCAGCAAGCTGAAGTATACTTCTTGGAACATCTTCGCGCTCCCGCTACCGGCCTTCAGACCAAGCCCAGGAATGCTGCACCAACAACGGGAGGAAGCCCAATCGAAGCCAAGACCAGAAGTCGGCCAGGGAATTTACGTCGTACACCTGACACGATCTCTCGATTCTCCACGCACACATCCCAGCCGCAAAGCCCCAAAGCCTGGGCTTGAAGCTTCTGAGGCAGCAACATTCTTGTGGCCGAAGTTCCCCGACCAAGCAAAGGTGGCACCTTCCTCTATAGCCTGGGAAAAACAGTCCGACATGATACGAACTCAAACTTGCCTGTGCGACCACTGATTTGTGTCCAGTAGCTGATTTCCATGCCCCTTCAACGACCACCACAAAATCAGGTCGGGTGTGCATGTAAACGATAACCTTGGCAGGATTTGGAGCCAGGCGGTCAGTTTAACTCCACATTGCAGCATACTGTGCATCGAAAGCCATCCGTGAGCTCGGGCTGGGGGCAACACCGCAAAAGTCAAGAGCAACAGCATCGTCCAAGGCATCTCCTTGTTGTCAAGGTTTCTGCAACAACCATTCCCAGGCCTGTGACCTGCTTCCCATGCTCTATGACTCTTTGCCGGCGGTGAGTCCAGGCATGCTGCTTCACTGTCCAGTTCATTGCGCAGCCATGACAAGTAGAGGCCCAGCTGTAAGGCCTCCGAAAGCCCGAAGCTTCCCCTGCAAAGTGCTTGGACATGCCAGCATGGTGCGCCTCCCTGTCTTGCTGAACGCTTCCAGCTTTTCGATTGACGCGTTTGCGCGTTGCGCGCCCTCTCACCTGGAGAGAACCGTGGTGTGGTTGCATGCGCCTGCATGCGCAAAACGACAGCACAAACCGGACTGCAGCGATGTCACACGCACCATGGAAAGCGAGCATTGCAAAGCAGAGGAGGAGTTACGACATGGCAACGGCTAGGAGCATGGTCCTAAACGTGGGCGACAGCTTTGGGCTCCACAGGTTCCGGGTCATGAAAGAAGCCTCTGAAGAATCTGCTGTAGCACTACTAACTATTTGCCAACAATCTCTTTCTGGAGCCGAAACTGGCTTTTCGAAAGACTTGCCAAAAACTCGATGATACATGGAATCTGTCCTGCAATCCGTGGACGTGCCAAACGCCGCATTCCTTCGGCCTGGTTGGTCGGCCAGCTTGGCACATACAGCCTGAGCTGAGGTTTCCACGTGAAGCAGGACCGGAATGACCGGCACTCAGGACAGAACTCCTTTTGATGATCCGAAAGCCAGGAGGGTCGGAAACCGTTTCCTGCTCGCAGAAGTCTCATGCTTGCTGGCAGAAAAACTCCGACGGCGAGCTCCTTGACTGGGGCATGAAGGAGTGAAGCCATTCCTCTTGAAGGATGGACCGCTGCCTTGGCAGTGAATGCCAGTGACTAGCCACCGGCAGGTGCCAGTGCCAAGCAAGGGCATCAAACAGCACCAGGCCATGCCGAAAGCTGACCATCACACCTGAAGATCCGCAAAGCCGATCCGCCCCAGGCCGCAGGAAGACCATCATCCACGGCCTTTCGCAAAAACGACATCCGTGCAGGGAGCGCATGCCCTTCGGGCAATCGAGTCCTATCGGTCCTATCGCCAGACTTCAGACCAGTCTGCCCGCAAGGTGCATCTCCTATCCGAGTCCCCACTCGAGTCCCCGTCCTCGATGTCGGGCACGAGGCTCTTCTCCAACCGTGCTTGCTCCAACAATTGCCTCCAATGCGAGACTTGGGGCTCGGCCTCGGCCGAGCAAAAGCGACACCGCTCCGTCTGACATGCTTTTGCCTAGGTGTGTTTGTGACTGAGCACCAAGCCCCCATGCAAGAGGGAGTCTCAAAGCAGCATGGGCATGTCTTCTCCGGCCGCCCGCTTGAGCAGTAAGGTTGCTAAACAGAAGGGGACACATCCTCAAAGTCAACACACACACTGGGGCTGGCTGGAGCCCACACTGTCGTGGACTCGACCGATCATCCTCTCATCACAAACCTTGTCTTCCTGCATGAAACCGAATCTGAATGACAATCCTAAAAGTCCATTTGTGCAAACTGCAGTGACAAAGGAACATGGGACTCATCGGCTTCCGCAATGCTAAACCTTTTCAAAACTCAACCACGGCTTCTACTCTTTCTAAGCTCTGTACCCAGGTATGGCTATAAAAAACTCTGGCGAGGCGTCTTCGTCCTTCTGGACTGTCAACAATGCATCCAATCAAAAGCTGCACTGCCCGACATAGTATGTTGTTTCACGGGGCACAAAGACACTTCCCCCAACGACCCCCACAACAAAAGAAGCCACTGAATCCAACAGACTAACAAAAGCCATGCAAACCTGCAAGCCAGCCCGCTGCATGCAAAACGCTGGATTTTCTGCCAGTGGTGAAAGTGATGGTAGCATTGAAGGACTTTTGCCTCGGTAGACGTGTACAGTGTACATTGTCGTGAAGACAAATCATCAGATTGGTCAGCAATGCATGATGTTTGTTCTTTGCTAGCTAGCTTTCTGGCAAGGCAATCCGACAAATGACTTCCGGAGACTCCAGCAGAAACAGTAACAAGCCTGCTGCACCTCAAACCCCTATGAAAGGAAAGCTTGAAAAGTTCAACGTGACACCCATCAAGCCGTTGCTGGATCAAGCTGCGGCCGCCGGTTGTTCCGACTGCGAAGGTGTGCTTTCGTCTTGTACAAGTGGAGGGGTCAGCGCCCCAAACTAGCTACCATTGATGAATAAGACAGACGCTACAAATGCTGTCACTGCAAGCAGTTGTTCAGATATGTCATCTTCTTCATCTGACGAGATCTTGGATCCCGCAGGGTTTTGGTGTCTCACTGGTTGCGTGTGCTTTTGCTGCATCGGTTCCCGGTTCTTTACATCAACGAGCACTGTGGAGCCGCCAGGAGGCGTTGACACAGACGTCGCACCGGACGTCACACCGGAGGAAAACTCCTTGGTTGCGCTAACCTGTCGGGGAGATGGCTCGAATATCTCGTCCGGGATTGTGATGTTCGGTGCAATTGTGCCCAAGCTTGCCGAACGGGCAATGCTTGATTGCCCACGCTCTGTAGCCTTCGGGACATCAGATGTTTTCTCACTGGTCGCGGCATCGCGAACTGACCCGTTCCTGGGTTGGCTGCTCGACCGGCCTTGTAGGCTCGAAGGATTGTGAAGCTCCGACAAAGTGCTGTCGCCAGCATCCAGCATCTTCTCATCCGGCCGATCGACCAACTCCGTCTGTCCATCTCTCATGTTGTGTGCTTCATCTTCTTCTTCTTCTTCTGCCTCGCCCGCCGTACGAGCCAGCTCATGTACATCTGCTACAAGCGATGTCTTGGCAGGGTGGAAGAACTTCAACGATCGATTTCCTGCCAGCTCAATGGGCGTTCCGTCTGCCAAACACCCAGCATCCGGAACACCTGCCTTGGATCTGCTTGTCACCACGGGGAACACGGTTGACTCGGGATGGTTGATAGCATTGCCTGCTCTGTTGAAGGCTGTGCCATCAGCCAGGCAGCCATCCACCGAAATCTTTGAAGGCTTGCTGGCCACGCTAGCTGCAGCTGCAGCTGCCGATGCATAAATTGCAGCATTCCCGGCTCGTGCACGGGGCGTTCCATCAGCCAAGCATCCCGTGTCGCGTTCACTGTAAGCCGACCTGTCCACGAACGCTTTTGTCATCCCCTGGCTGCATGAATCCCGGCTTCTGACAACGGGAACCTGCGGCCGGCAAGTCCGACACCTGCTTCCACAGAACAGTCCAAACAAGGGTATCCCGAATACCAGAGTGGTCATATTTGCATGCTGCTTGGCCACAAACTGAAGCGACTTGCACTGTCCGTTTGCATGGGTCGCAACGTGTGCCGGTTGTGGAAAACGACGAGCCGACAGCGAAATTTGCATTGGCACATCTCGTCTCCTCTACGAAAGTCTGGAACCACCTGTTGCAATGTTTCAGCTAAGCCAACGATACAGGGGATGCATCACACCCAGCATGGTTGTATGTCGTTACAGCTATGTTAACATGATGGACCAGCAGCAACTCAAGCATCAGCACACCGCACACCGTCTCACGCCGTCCTGAGCCTAAAAGGCCGTGCAAGCAAATAATTTCAACTGACGCTACCCTCCGCAGCTTGCCGTAATTTTCCTCAAGTGCACAACGTAAACGTACCCAGAGATTTCTTTAGGGACGATGATTATGCTATGCTACATGCCTTGAATCGAACGCGCGACTCTACCCTGACAGACATGTCCTTCGATGGATCTGCGGCTGGGCATCAGTCGTCAGACATCTCACACAGCACTCGATCTTCAAAGTGGGCGAGCATACATATGCACGGAGGTAATGGTTGTTCCTGGGACAGACTGCATGATGTGTTTAACTTTGATTGGCATACTTTGCTGAGCTGGACAACATACGTACTCAACTACTCCCGGTGAGCATAAAATTCTGATCCCAAATAAGTCTGGCAATATCGGCGCTTAAACGGATCGGTGGATGATTTGCCTTGCTTCTGGGCATCCTCCAGCTCGCGTGTCACTGTCGCTCAACATTGCTGCCGGCGGGCTTCAGCCGAGCCGCGTCCCGGGCCGCCCGTAGCGGCAGAGTAGGATGTAGGGGTGCCGACTGCGGTTGACGGGCGGAAAAAGGTCCAGGAAGAAAAAAAAAAGTTGCTGCAGCGAAAGATGCGACACGGCGATTGGAATTTCAGGATCAAAATGCGGATAAGGCCGGACGACAGCAAGCCACTGCCAGAGAACCTTGCCACGGCATCGGTCCATTGCTGATCTGTCTCCTGCATCTTGCTTCGTTTCTGGGTACGCAGTATCTTCAGCATTTTCGCATGGCCGCCGGTCGAGAACTGCATTGTGCTGCAGTCTTTGCGCCTTCAAAAGATTTTTTGCTTAGACCCCCAACAACTGACAGAGATTTGCATGCATGATCGACCTCGAACTCGAGCTTGATAATACTGCACTCATCATCAGTTAAGAAATTGTCACTGCTGCATTTCCACTTGCTACGCATGAAGGCCATGTGAAATTTACCTTCGTGCCAACACCACCATCAGGGGCTTGAAAAACCACATAACTTGTCAAGGTGCCACCGCACAACCCGCACTAGTTCTCGTTGAATTCGACAACCAGGATGCTCGACAGTGATTTTTGGATGTACAGACGTGCACGTCGCAAGCATGGGGAGTTGCAACATGTCGTTGATGTTGAGATGGGTTGCTGCTTGACTTGGGCGGCGCCTTGCCCTACGAATGAGAGTGCGTGCAGTGCTGTGGAAATTTTCGCGCCGTCGTGCCACAAACAAAATCCAGTGATGTTGCTACACATGACTTTCCAACATGAATTTCAACGTGAAGTTTTTCTCCTTGTACTTCGACGCGCCTTTTTCCTGCTGCCTCTGGCGTCCGTGCCGAGCGTCCTTTCCCACCGGCTAACTCAAGGGCTTTTACACGCTCCCGGCTGGCTGGACTGCGACGGACACGATGCCTTGCCATCGTGTGGACCAGCCTCCAGCGGCTGCGGCACGAGCAGCAGGCGGTGCCCGCGGTGCTCAGAGGCGCAAGAGTTCGGGCACGACTCCGCTTGTGCATTCCATTGCCTTCCGACCTCGCTAGCGCAGCCAGCTAAGCGACCAAGCGCTATGACCCGCCATGCGTGCGATAGGGGAATGCCATCTGCTCGTGGCACTCCGCCACTCGCAGCACCGCGCCTTCGATTGCATCCACGCACGGCTGTGGAGTCAACGGTGCCACGAGCGTCGCCACGGCAAAGCACCCACTGTTTGCTGTGCCTCCACGACCACGTCGAGACCAAGCCTTCCGCACCAACTTTCGACCACGCGAAGCCATGCACGTTCGACGTCGACCTGCCGGTCTCAGCCTTCCAGTCCTTCCCCTCCTGCTCGGGGTCGTGCATGTATATGTATGTGTATGTATATATATATATATATCTGTGTATATATGTGTGTGCGTGTGTGTGTTTATTTGCGCTGCAGCCGTCCAAGGATACCACAACTGTGTCGGGATGCATCGCGAGGGACATGCGGATGTGCGCAGCTAAAGCGTGAGTTTCTGCGGTTTTTTTTTTTTTTTGCTTCCGCGCCGGGAGTCCTCAGGGTCGGGGGTACTCAAGGGGGCCGGCTCTGCGGGCTAGC